CTGCCTCCCTGCCCCTCCTCGCCTCTGCCCCCAACCCCATGGTGACTACAGCTCAGCACCTTCCAGTCCTCCAGAACAGACATAATTATGATGTAATCATACAGCAGATTTGCTGATTGGGATCCAAGAAGAAAATACCTCTTTTGCCCCCATCCTTCTCCTCCTCCCCAGTTTGCTACCAGGATGCTGTGTTGCAGTTAATCTGCATATATTCCTGCCCACTTTAGCCTTGCTTTGTCTTCTGAGTTTCCACCCACTATGAACAACATCTTGTATCCTTTACTTTTTAACCTTTTGAATACATTTTTAAAGGTTTCAGTAGAAAATATGACCTGCCTGCACATTTAAAGGCTGTTTTATATTTTGGTGAAAATTTTTCTGCTCTATCAAAACCTCCAGTCTGTATGAGACCAGCTACCTTAGAATTATACTACTTAGTGTCTTTGCGGTATCCCCAGATTGACCCATCTTCTATGCAACCTCTGGAGACCAGACAAGGATCTCAACAGTGTTTCTCAACCTTGGCCACTTTAAACTGTACGAATTTTAATTCCCAGAGTTTAAGGCTGAGAAACCCTGAGCATCCAAATTATTAAATCCATATGGCCATTTTACTGGGCTGCCAGATCATCTTACCTGTCTGTTGCATAGGAGAAAATCTTAGCTTGGACCTTACAGAGATGCACTGAGGAAAATGCAACTGAAACAGATTCTGAAAATGCAAAAGCAAATTCAAATTAGTGTTACCTTCCAGTTCCTAATCAGGTAGCAAGCTTAATTCAGTATTTCTGTAATTGTTTTCTACCCAAACAACATAGTCTAAGCTTGAAAGAAAGCAAAGCCAAATAAAAATAAAAATCAGCTCATGTATGTAATTTGCAGGTGGATAAAAAGAAACTGCCTGTGCAAATGTCAAAAGCGATCCAAAGAAAAAGTCATCCTGCTTAGCAGATTCATCCTAATAAGGGATTTTTCCCCTCACTATCGTGACCTGGGATCCAGCTGTGAATGTGAAGGGCAAGACTCAGACCTCAAAAAGCAGGGTCTCCTCATACGAGGAACTGTGTTCAACATACAACATGAAACACTAGAGTAGCACGTGCATCCACCCTACAGAAATCTGAATGACCATACGACATCTCTGAATCTTCTCTTGAATTCGGTTGTCAAAAGTTATCACTTTGGAAGTATTGATCAGGGTGGACTCATTTCTCATCAGAAATTTTCAGAGTTTGGACTTATTCAGATTTCCTGCCCAGGATTGGACAATTTATTTGTTTATCTATTTGTCACGTTTAAACCCCACCTTTCCTCCGGGAGCTAAAGAGAAGGTTGGTCTGCTGCTAAATTTGAACCCGTCTCTCCCCAATCCCAACCCAACATGTGAGTCATGATGGCAGGTGAGGCTTCTGCATAGAAAACCATAGGGGGGGGGGAGGGATTCTTTTATTTTTGCCCCAAATCCTAAGCATTGGACTAGAAAGGAGTTGGAAATTTATATTTTATATTCTGTCCATTGAACCCAGTATTGGCATAACCTGACAATTTAGGAGAATCCCTTGCAGATCTAAATTAAGAGTTGATGGCTGTCAAAAATACTATTAGTTGAAGAAGAAGACTCCAAAGTTAAGGGGATAATTCCTCACAGATGCCAATTTAGGAGTTGGTGGTTTTCATAAATATAGACCCAGAGCTGAGGAGATGCATCCTCAAAGATCTAAACCAATGACTTTCATAAATAATAATTATTATTGTCAAAACTGAATGAATAATATCTCACAAATCCAAATTAGGAGTTAGTGGCTTTGGTAAATATTGCTATTGTTAGAGTATAAATAATAATAGTCAAAGCTGAGGGAACAGCCTCTCACAGATTCAAATTTAGCAATCTGTGACTTTCAGAAATATTGCTATTAGCTGAATAATAATAATTCATAACAGTCAAAGCTGAGGGAACAACCCCACATTAGCAGTTGGTGGCTTTTGTAAATATTGCTATTAGTTGAATAATAAGAATATTCAAAATGAAGGGATAACTCCTCACGGACCCAAATTTGAATAGTTGGTGGGCTTCATTGATCACTGTTAGTTAAATAATTATTATAATACTCAGAGTTGAGGGGACAACCTCCCCACCCATATTGGGAAATTGACGGCGTTCATAAAAATAATTCATAACAATTCATAAAAATAACATAAACGACATTAAAGGACTATCTCCTCACAGAGACTATCTCCTCAAGAGATGGTGGCCTTCACTGATCACTGTTGGATGAATAGTGATAATATAACACTCAAGAGTTGAGGGGACAAAAAAGCCCCCATCCACACTGAAAAATTGATGGCTTTCCTAACTGTCGCTTTTACTTTAATAATATCAATAATGTTCCAGTAATCAAAGCTGAGAGGACACCCCCCCCCCGTCACAGATCCAAACCCCGAAGCCTGGGGGCTTCAACGACCCACAGCTGAGGGGATTTCTCCCTCCACCCCCCACCCCACCCCCAAGACGCCCACTGAGGCACCAAGGCCGCGGCGGCCCTCACGCACCAGGCCGGGCGAAGCCTGAGGGGGCGGCTAGGCGAGGCCGGCGGGCCAGGGGCAGAGGCCCACCTCGCGGGGCCGTTGTGCCGGGGCCTCGCCTCGCCTGGCGCGCCGCCTCCCGCCCGCCCTCGGCCCGCCCCGCCAGGCGTCCGGGGGGAAGAGGGGGGGAGAGAGAGGGAGAGATCGCAGAGGCAGGCGGGCGGGCGGGCGGGCAGGCCCGGCGGCGGCGGCGGCGGCTGCGCGCTGCGGTTCTGCGCTCTCATCATGGCGGCGGCGGCGGCGGCGGGTGCGCGGGGCCATGTGCAGGACCCGAACGACCGGCGCCTGCGGCCCATCTACGGTAGGCCCCGCGCGCGCTTCCCGCCTTTTCCCCTCGCACGCGTCGCCGGGCCTGCTTAGAGGGAGGGGATGGCCGGGCTCCATGGCCGCCTCCGCGGGCCGCGCATGAAGCCGGGACCCCTCCCGGGACCCCCGTCTTTGGTGGGGGTGGGAGGAAGCAGGCCGCTCTCGGAGGGGGGGCTTTTCCTCAGGGAGAGGACCCCTGAGGGGGGGGGGGGGGGCGTAAGGCGCGCTCTGAGGGGATACCGGGGTGCCATCTAGAGGGGTCCCTTCCATCCCTTTTGGGTCGGGACCCCCTTTTAGGCTTTGTTTTGCTCAAGGAGGGACGGAGGTGCCTTTAAAAGGGCTTTTTGGAATAATTTCCCCCTCAGTGGCCTTAAATTGGGGGTTAGCAAAAACCCTTAATCTGGGGAGTGAGGAACCCCCCCCCCCCTTTTCCCAGGTCCCCAGTATCTTTATTGGGAAAGCTTTTGGGTGGAGGGGAGAATCTGCAAAGCTTCATCAAGTTTTTTACCTGGTGTAACCGTGGAGAGACGATCCCCGCCCCCCAAAAAGAAAGGAGGGTTGAATAGCAATGCTATTCTATAACTATAACTGTACAATATCCAAGCCTTGGGGGAGCAGACCCCCCCCCCGTTCTTTTGGTGTGATGGACCCCATGTCCTCCTCATGAAACAAAGTTTTTCATCAATAGAGTTGCAGGGAGTGCAAAGGATTCCCCTGGTCTCTCCGTCTGAGTGTAAGTCCAGCTATCAAAAGTGCTGATTTTAGTTCTATTAATAGGCAGCCTGCTTAAAGTATTGTTTTGCTTTTCCACAGTTCTGTGGTGGGTCCCCAAAGAATGTGGTTTATTGCCCCTTTTCAGCCACCTATGATTTAGAAAGAAGGAGTCTGATGCTACCATAAAATGTTTGGCTTCTCCATTTTATAGGCATGTTTATATATGTGTGTGTACACACACACACATACCTCCTTCCCACATTTTTCAGGGGTTGCTGACCAAGTACAGAGTTTTTGGGGTTGGAGTGGGGAGGGAAAAGGCACCATTCAGAAATCACCTGGAGGGCTGATATAGAATTCACACAGGAATGGGAATAAGGAGATATTGAGCTTACTAAATCTGCAGAAACAGGAATTGGTATGAAGTTTAGCTTCTTGCAGGACTTCCTCTCCTGATTGTGAGAACTTGCACTGGAGCGCCCAGGGTGTTGGGTGACTTTAAAACTTAGATGGTGAACTTCTGAAGATTCCACCCACTAGTGCTCTTTTTGCTCCGTTTGATGAAGAAGTTAAAAACAAAGTGAAAAATATATATTTAAAATGTATTTATTTTGGTCCACAAGAAACAGAAGAGTGAAAACAACTCAGGCTGTCTAGAAGACAGGTAGTTTGGTGCCTGGTTCTCCTAGGTGGCTTTTCTAAAGACTTTTAAAGACTGATCTGTAAATACAAGATTTCTGATATATCTGTTGTTTGATCAGGATAGTTTGGTGAGATGCTTGAGCTGTTCTTTCAGCATGCCTCCTGAAAGCCTCCTGAAAGCGTGATCTTCCAACGGAGTCCAAGTATTATTATTTTGCTTTAGGTTATGCATATCCCTCACATTGTTTGACTCAATTGCTTCATACTTCACTATTGTTGTGCAAGCCTCTGTCGCTACTTTGTATTGGCTAAAAATGGACAGGGTTATTTACAGTTTTGCATAGATCGATGAATAAGATAAAAAGTAGTATTGACAGGAGAGCCTCAAAAAAAGAGAAAGCTCAGCCTAAAACCAGTGTTTCCTAACTTGTCAGTTAAAAAAGGCTAGTCGGGAGAGCATTGATTTGGGGCAGATCTGGAATTTTTTCTGATAATGCAAATCTTAAAGGTGCATCTTTATAGGCCCAGCTATCCTGGCTGTTGCAGCATTTCTCATGAAAGTCAACAGCTACATTTTCAGGGTTTTGTCTGTACTTGGTTCTTTTCACAAGAATTAGGTCAGAACTGCTTAATATTACATTTGACAAACTGCCTATGCCTCCTAAAAATAATCTTTGAGCAGTCAGTCTCTTTAATGGGAAAGTAGGTTTCTCAACCATTTTTTTTAAATGCGTAGCATTATATGTACATATCAGATATGTTTCTAAATTGGAGATATGAACACTATGGTGTTGATCAAATTCTGTATCGAAAGACAATGCTGGAAAAGATTGGAAACAATTTAGTATTATTTTGAATAATATTTCAAAACAGTGTGTTTGTTAATATTAATTGGTACCTGTCATGAAAAAACATTTTTGTTTTGGGGATATAACTCCATTTACAATTAATGTAATGTCTAGACAAGTTCTGATTTTATCTCATTTAATATTTTCTTTAATGAGAGCTAAAAGTCTTTCCCTTGGTGTTTGCTTTTTGTTTTAATTTATGGTCTAGACTCTATTGTATAGAAGCTTCATTAAACTTTGTTAACTTTCTCAAATCCAGCCTGAGAATCATATTTAATATTTAAGGAGTTGAATTAGCAGTTTTGAAATAATTTGTTGTGGTTGACCGTCACATCTTTAATTCTCTGCTCCTTTCATATGGTGGCAAAATATCCATAAAGTTTCCCATAAAGTTTTTGCATCTATCATAGATGGAATTCATATTATTTGTACTTCATGCTAGATCATAAAAAAAAACCTGTTTTGTTCCTCTTACCAGCAAGATTGGTTAGGCCATACATAGGAGCTTCTCCCATGGGTTTGTTCAGTATGATAGATGGATGAGCAGTTACCAATAAAGGAGAAAACGACCAGAGAGCATCAAGGACCCATCATAACTAGGAGTTCTGGCTGGTTTCTCTTCCAGCAAGTCAGATTGGGAGCTGGAGACCAAACACCTTCCAACTATGGCTTGTGAAAGAATGAGTTAGACTTAAGGATGTTGACCCCCATGAGAGGTCACCAAACATCAGAGGAAGCCCCCATGAGGGCAGAACCCATTCATTTCCCACCAGAAACCAAGACCTGCCACTCGCTTCTAATCCAAACAAGAAAACTTTTCCATGGGGAATAAGCTGTTCTCAGAAGGATGCCCTACTGATGTATTAGATAGAGCCTATTTTGGTTACTCCACCCATTACAACAAGGGTGGGAATTGTAGTCCAGCTCACCTGCAGGGATGGGAATTGTAGACCAGCTTACCTGGAAACCCTGCCATTGGGGCAGGGAACTGATTCTCAACTTTATAGTCTGTGGTAATTCTCTCTCCCTTCTTTTCTTTAGATTATCTTGATAATGGCAATAATAAAATGGCAATCCAGCAGGCAGACAAACTGCTAAAAAAGCACAGAGATCTTCACTGTGCTAAGGTGAGCTCACAGTTTGTTTGTTTTTTACGTTGTCTTTGTCTTCAATCTTGAATAAGCAAGGGCCAGAGTCTGCTTTCTGTCTGTCGCCTCCCTAGAAAGGGTTGGGCTGGGTCAGACAACCAGAGCTGCAGTCTTTAAAGCTAAGCTTTGAAGTCATCCTTTGTGGGGCAATATTTTTCCCTTTGTTGCTCCTGATTTGTCCCCTGTCTGGATGGATGACCTTTGCCATGCTGATCATAAGCTCCAGTTGATTGAAGTCATTCTTCTTCAACATATTTGTCCATCTCATCATGGCTTAGTATCCTAAGGTAAATCGGAGTTGGTGCTCAACTTCTGAGATTTAACATTTGACCCACCAATCCATTTCTTTGTTGATTATTCTTGGAATGGGATTTTTCATGACCATCCTTCTTATTGACAGCTACCATGAAACCTCTTAAAATATTCTTTGATCTGCATGCAGGTTTTGAAAGCAATTGGCCTGCAAAGAACTGGGAGACAAGATGAAGCGTTTACTTTGGCCCAGGAAGTAGCAGCCCTTGAACCCACGGATGACAATTCCTTGCAGGCGTTGACAATCCTGTATCGAGAAATGCATCGGCGTACGTTTCCCAGCTACTCTTACCCCTTTAGGCTTTTTATTTTCGTTTTGAAGAAGTCCACCTCTCCTTCCAATCCACATGCGTCTCATCGGCTCTTCTTCAATATATGGAAGAGAGAATCATCTCAAAAATGACCACAGATCCTATTTTGCCCAGATTTTAATTATAACTCTTAATTCAAAGGCAGAAGGATGATCTTTAGCTACATTTAGTGAAGATTAAGGAAATATTATTTTTCATTCTTGCTGGAATTTAAGAGGTGTGGAGCAGAAACAGTTTCTGAATTAATGAGTAGTTGTTTTTGTTGTCTTGCTTGCTGGTGGCAGGATTTCCTAGTATTAATGCCCAACGTCTAGGCCAGGGAACCATTTTCATACACTTCCCATATTACAGCTCCAAAACATTCTGGGGAATGAAAGTGAGGTTAAACCTGATCCCTCAAACTGCCAGCTGAGAGTAGATCCTGCCGTCGGGATGCTTGGGGTCCTAGATGCCGAGCCCTGGTGCCACCCCAAAGAAGAGAAGGTCTCCAGGTGCTCCGATAACGAAAGGGCTCTAAGTCTTCACCTGCCTACTTTTAATACTTAGAATGTCTGCTTTCAGCCGAGCTGGTCACGAAACTCTACGAGGCGGCCGTGAAGAAAGTTCCCAGCAGTGAGGAATATCATTCTCACCTCTTCATGGCTTATGCAAGAGTCGGAGAATATAAAAAGATGCAGCAGGTACTTGCCAGCATTATAGACCGTTGTTTCTCAAGGAGACTGAGGCTTCTTCACGGATCACCCACAAAATGCAAAATTTCGTCTCTTTTGGCCTGAGGAGCTGCTGAGGCTTCTTTGGAAGGAAGTTCCTATGACATCAGGGAGTTTCAGGTTACGGCAGAGTTTTGATTGCTGTTTCCTGTTCCCTCTGAAAACAAATACCTGAAGGAGCGGTTGGGGCCAGAGGAGACAGAAGAGGGTGGTGGCAGCTCCTGCCCATCTAGGTTGCAATCCTGCAGTCCAAAATGTAACAGAAGGGAACCTCCACCCTTCGTTCCCTTCCTGTCAGCAAACACTTTGAACTGGTGTAAAGACTCCTTAGAGGTCATTGTTGGCTAGAAGGTTGTAGCTTTTGACCAGCGGGTCCTTTTCTGTGAAGCATCTTGATTTATGCTTTCTTCTTTTCCAGGCTGGAATGGCCCTTTACAAGATTGTCCCTAAAAACCCATACTATTTTTGGTCTGTGATGAGTTTAATAATGCAGGTAGGTACCATATTTCATAAAAATATGTGGAAATGCTAAGTAGATGTTAGAAATAAATAACATGCATTGCAAGCACAGGTTGTAATACAGTGGCACAACCTTTCTTAACTTGGTGTCTTCTAGAGCTACAGGGAGCATGTGGTTAGGGTTATAGGTTGAGAGTGGGCTACATTAAATCTTGTTTTCATAGTGCAATTAGATCAACAAATTGGATGAGAACGTGCTGTGAAATGAGAACATTTCTCTACTGGGAAATGCAAGGATCTTCTGCAGACCCCTAAATTCTCGTTTGAGTCATACATAAGCAGGGATGGTGAGTGCTACCTGCAGCCCATTCTGAGGTGAAGAAAAGGGGAAAAAGAAACTGTTCATTGTGTTTTCCTCTCTCACTTCCATTGAATGTCTAAATTCTGGAATTGGTGCTTAAGATTCACATGTTAGCTTGAGGATTTACAAGGAAGCTTGGAATCCTTTGAGAAACTGGGTGAAATCTGACAGTTGACTGTCACTTGAAGCAATCAGGGCAGCTGAATGGCCAGAGTCTTACGCAATGTGGCTCATTTATTTTTACAAAGTTGCTGCTCCGTTGTATTTGTGGGACATCAGCATCAGTGGAGTGCCTGTTGGATCAGGTGCCTGTCATCGCTCTTCTGGAATAATGAGCATAAAACTGCAGCCAGTTGGCTGGTCGCTCCTGTCGTTGGTTGGAATGTTTCACCCGGACTTAATACTTTGAATTGGGCCTGTGGTGAATTGGAAAGAAGGGTGTGATTCACCTTGCTTACTTTAGCTCCTCTAGAGAAAAACTAGAAAGCAACAGTGTTATGTTAGCCAGACGGTGGGCTGGTTCTCTATATGGCAGTTCTATTGTGTTTTTTTCTTGCAGTCAATATCTGCGCAGGATGAAAAGCTCTCAAAAACCATGTTTTTACCCCTAGCTGAAAGGATGGTAGAAAAAATGGTGAAAGAAGATAAAATCGAAGCTGAAGCAGAAGTAAGACTTTTTTCCAATTCTATTTAAGGCCAATGTCAGTTGCAATAAAATTATTTCAGTTTATGATACAATTTATTGGTCCAAGAAATATCTCTCCCCTTCTTAAAGGGTAGCCCCGAAGATAAATTAGTGGAGCTAATGGTGGCAAGTTACACTCTCTCTCCTCTTGATTTATCTCTTCCTCTTGCTGTCCACTTCTACTAGGTGGAACTTTACTACATGATTCTAGAACGCTTGGAAAAATACCAAGAAGCTCTGGATGTTGTGAGAGGAAAACTGGGAGGTAAAGTTTTCCAGTGCCTTTGTTAAAGAGATGTAATCTGTCACACAGAGGCTTGTCTGCAGTTCAATGTTGCCTCAATTTGCAAAACTATGTGCTTTTATCATGGTCTCATCTACAAATGTGTGTCTGTGCCAGTTATTTTGCATCCTGCGTTATATAAGGGCCGTTTTGAAATTAAACCCCAGAAAACTCCCCCTGGCTCCCTGCAGTCCCATTTTTGCTGGATGAAAGGGGGATTTTGTTTCTGAAACCGTCACGTTCCTTAATGCGAATTTTCATTTGATGTGGGTGTGTGTGTGTGTGTATTATATTTAGACAAGTTAACCAGCGCGCTCCAGAGCAGAGAAAATAAGTGCATGGAGATGTACAGGAAGCTGGGCAAATGGCCAGAGTGCAACGCTCTCTCGAGAAAACTTCTGCTTAAAAAGTAAGGAAATGTAGGCGGGGCCTCCGGGCCGTACCTTGGGCAGCCCTTTCGCATCCTTTCGGTTGCCTTTCGGTCGTTCCCCAGGCTACTAAAAACCTTAGAAGGCCCCCAAGAGGAATCCTTCCTTTTCTTCGCTTTGAACATTTCGTTTCCTTTTTAATTACACTTAGAGGCATCCGTCTTATCAACTAGAACTGCTTAGCCTAACCTGCCTTGTTCTTTGACCTGCCACCCAATCCAGGGCCTTGTTAACAAGCAACCCTTTCCCTCACTTACCTTTGCCATTTCAAAGGCTCCCTGATCTGCAAGCATCATTCATCCAGGCGCTTTGTTTTTGTGGGGTGTTCAGACGAGCCACGTGATGCACGGCCAATGGAGGGCGGGGGGAACCTTTCAGGAGACGTTTTTGGGTTTCCTTCCCTGGTCGGCCCACCCTGAATGCTCACAAAAGAGGTAGCGAGAGAGGAGGCGTCCTCCACTGCCCCTCAGCCTTTTTTCTTCCCCTCCTTTTCTCTGTTGCAGCCCAGATGATTGGCAGTTCTACATGGTCTACTTCGATTCCCTCTTTCAACTGATCGGCATGGCTTGGACGCCTCCAGCTGAAGGGGAGCAGTGAGTATCCTCCCCTTGCAGGGCTTTGAGAGGGAGGGGGGCTTATATCTTCACTAGAAAGAGAAAGGAGGGAGAAAATGCGTGTCGTGGAGCTGGACAGGTGGCAGGAGAGAGAAAGAGATGGAACGGAGCTACTGGGTCTCACTGCCCTTCTTGTGCTCAGTTCTCTGGAAGGAGACGTCCATCACAGCACAGAGCAGGCCGTCGCGTTCATCGAACAGCGGCTAATCCACGAGTCCAACAGCGCCCGCCCACTTCGGGGACCTTACCTGGCCCAACTGGAGCTGATCAGCCGCTTGCGGCACAGAGGCTACCCTGAAGAACAGAAATTGGGTAAGGGTGGCTGCAGGGGTGCCGGAGTGAGCCTCTTGTGGGGGGGGGGGGGAGGGGGGGAGACGGGGTCAGGGGATTGCAGCAGCTGATGTAAACTCTGCACAAGAATTGCAGGCATCCACCGGTCACCGGGGAGGCCGTTCGTCTTCTAGTATAAAACTTGGCAGTTTTCCTGGAGGCAGATAAACATGCAAATGCTGAGGCTCCCCTGAGTCGCAGTGGTGCAAGGTGTGCTCACATCTCTGTGCAGATCCCCAGTGCTCAAAAGAAGGATAAAACCTGAATGAGCCTTTACTTTCTTTAAGGAGGGGAACAATTGGCCCAGGGTGAGGGAGTCCCTGGGCTGTATTTTTAATGCCACATGGTAAAGGTGCTTGCGTTGCCCTTCCTTGCCTCCCATTTTTATTTTTTTTAGGTGCTTGGTTGGCTTTGCACGGGAAGTGTTTGTTAATTAAGTAAACCCTAAATCGGTCTTCCTAAACTTGGCAACTTTAAGATGGGTGGACTTCAAGTCCCAGAATCCCCCAAAAGCCAGTTTGGTGAATAACGGGGAAGCTGCTTTGCTGCAGACTCTCCTGAGCGGTTTTCTGGGCCTTGACTGGCTTTTTATTGGATCAGGAGACCTCGTGAATATTAGGACGGTTTTACTATCCAAAATCTGACTGTGCCGCTTTTCAGTCGCTGATTCCTTATTTCTTAGGCAACCCAGAAGAGCTCATGTTCCAGTATTTCAAGATGTTTGGGGACAAACCTTGCTGCTTTACGGATCTCAAGGTGTTCGTCGACCTCCTTCCGTCCACGCAATACACAAAGGTAGCCTCACGGGCAGCTCCCGCCTCCTGCATCCTGGGCTCCTGGGGCTGTGTTTATACCAGGCCGCTCTCCTTCTGTTGGCAGTTCATCAACCAGTTGTTGGGGGTCATCCCCCTTTCTGTCCCGCCGGAAGGCAGGCTTGCGCTCCCAGCTAATATCAAAGCTTTGCAGCAACACCTGTGTGTGATGCAGTTGACACGGTTGCTTGGACTCTTCCACAACATGGACGACACAGCTCAGAAACTGGCAGCAGTCCAGGACTTGATGCTGCGTTATCGGCACGGATTGGATTTTGGTGAGGAGACTTCTGGGGCCCCGTGGCCATTCGTGGGGTCTGCCCTGGCCTTCCGCCATTCGGGCTTCAACCTTTGTCTGAGGAGTTCTAGTCCATCACTGACCGACTAGCAAGTTCTTTAGCCCTGCTGGTTAAATCTGGTCACTGTTACATTTGGACTTTGGAGAACTGGAAATTTAGCATTTTAAGTAAACCTGCAAGAAATGTTAAATGGCATTTTTACCCAGGTAGCTCATGTTTGAAAGCATAAAATGTTCTGTTTTGTGGCTTTGTTCCCCCACCGCAGGAAAATCCTGTTTGAAAACAGAGTTACAGTTTTCAGATTACTATTGCTTGCTTGCTGTTCATTTGCTGCTTGACCTCTGGCTGGAAGCAGGTATGTCATTACAACACCTGTCTGTGATCAGAAATGACTTTGGAAGGGGAGGTTATCGCTGGCTTAAGTTATTAACAACAATAAAACTCAGTGGGTGAAGCTCAAGCAATTTCTACAGCTATGTGTGCCATGGAAAAATTAGGAAGGGTTCTGTTCTTCATGTAAGACTAGATCGAGCCTATTATCTGCTAAAGCAGCAGAAGAATTGGAGTTTGGGGACATTGTAAAGGTGTTCTTTACACATTAAATCTTGGAATTTGTTCCCTCATTATGAAAGGGAGTGCAGCTTTGAAGAAAAACTGGACAAATTTGTCTCACAGAAGAGTTGGCTTCCCGTGCTTTCAGAGCCCTTCCTTGTCTTCTCGCGGCTTTACGGCTGTGTTTTTACCCTCTTCCCCCATCCAGGCGAGGAATCAGCTGTCTGGCAGTGCTTGACTCTGCTAGAGGAAGGGTTGACCTCCAGCCCTTCCAACGCCCAGTTCAAATTGCTGCTCATCCGAATCTACTGCATGCTGGGGGCCTTTGAGCCGGTGGTGGAGCTGTACTCCAGCCTCGACGCCAAGCACATACAACACGATACCATTGGGTGAGTAACTCGCCCCTCTTCCTGGGGGGGTGTTGGAGGGGGCTTTATGGAGCTGCTGTCTTGGGCAGGGAAGGTCTGCCTGGTCTTGCCTCCATTCACCAGAGGTTAGGGAAGGGTCCGTGGGGGTCTTGGGGCAAGGAGAGGTGCCGCTGTGCCCCTTTGCAGGGAAGACCTTAAAGTTTCTGGAGCAACCTCCAATATACCCCTTTGCTCGAGTGTTCCTAGATGTAAATAAAGATTCCATCATCCAGGCAAAAGTATCTTAAAAGGGTATATCTCGGTAACAACCCAAGTTTATTAAACTGAGACAATTACGCATTCAAAATGAAAATTTTGGTTAAAATCAGTCGCTGGGTTTCCCTTACTTGGGGGAATAATGGGAAGAAACGGCAGGGGTACCCCAAAACTATACTCCCTCAGCTGGGAAAGCTGAGCCAGCTTTCATGCTTTGTGAGCATCGTTCGTTGATTTGTTGGTTTGTGCCTTCTGCATTGCAGATACCTGCTGACCCGCTATGCCACGGCTTTTGGCCACTATGCTGCTGCGTCCCAATCCTGCAACTTTGCACTCAGGTTTTTCCACTCCAACCAGAAAGATGTAAGTGTGGGAACAGGAGGAAGCACCCGTTTCTCCTCTTCAGAGACCATGTGCAAAGTCCTTTGAAGCAGAGCCGGCTCTTCCCACCGTTCCTCTCCCTTTGCCTGGCCTCACGTAGATACTCAGAGCCTGGTAGGAGAAGCAGGAGGGAGGGAAGGAGGAATGGACTTGTGGTTGGGTCGATATCTGCATGAGTTAACGAATCATTTGTAAACCTTCAAGCCCTCGGCCATACTTCCTCCGCTGTTCTTGTGTCGGCCCTGCGAGGTTGATGAAGTTCAGCCACAGGGCTTCCTGCTCTCCACCCCCACCCCCCAAATTTCTTGAGAAAGCAGCTTTCAAGGCTGAACCTAAAACCAAGTCTCAAGAGCGAAGGCTGCACAAGTGCTGGGGGGCCCTAAGGGTTGGAAAGAGCCTCTTGAACATTCCCCCGCCCCACCCTGGGGCAGTTGCTACATCAACCCCCCCTTGGGCAGTCCTCAAGCCTTGAGGCCCTCCTGTGCTTCCTTTGCAGACCTCAGAATACATCATTCAGGCCTATAAATACGGCGCGTTTGAGAAGATCCCAGAATTCATCGCTTTCAGGAACAGGCTGAACGCCTCCCTTCACTTTGCACAAGTCCGCACGGAACGGATGTTGCTGGATCTCCTCCTGGAAGCCAATATGTGAGTCCAGAGAAAGGGCTTTTCCTGGGAAGGTGGCAAACACGAGTCAGGTTTGAGTAGCAGCGATAGATACTGCGTAAAAACGGAAGGAGGATTCCTAGCAACGCTTGAAATTGGGCTTGAGTCAAGCCCAAGCCAGGTTCCCTTTTTCTATCCAGGAAACTGACAGCAGCACCCTGAAAATGGTTCATTGACGTGTTCTGCACGCATAACTGGCCATGTTTGGCTTGTTTTCATAGAGAGTAAAGCTTTTGATGAAAACACAATCCGTCACCTGCCGCGTTTTCCCTTGCAGTCGGGAGACTTTTGATGGCCACATTGGGGAAAAAAAAGAAATCCTGAACAAACCTGAGCAAACTCTTTTAAGTGCCTAACCCAGCCTTTCTGTTCGGTTCCTCATGAACCAGATCAACAAGTTTGGAAGAAAGTATTAAATCCATGGGCCTAAGTCTGGAAGAGGACGACATTCCCTGGAAGGACCTGCGGGATAATAGAGACCTCACTGTCCTATTTAATTGGGACCCGAAAGACAAGTAAGCACAAAAGTTTATGTGGGGCGGTAGAAGTTTTTTTATATGATCTGAAGGGAAACAGGAATATATCCAGGGACAGTGTAGGTTTTACACTGGGTATTTATCCAGCCCCCTGAAATAAATAGATCACCCTGGATTATAAAAGATCCAGTTAAGTATAAGCTCCATAGCTCCATTCAGAAGGCAGTTCTTTACTTCAGATTTCACCCCAATGTAGGAACCTATTTGGGTGTTTCCAGAACAGTGTGCATTTGCATAATGACCCAAAAGAAATAACAAAACACAAGTATGCAAACGGTATACATTATATCCATTTGGATTTAATTTAATTTTCCTCCCCCAGACTTGCAAAATGTCTATTAAAATAAGTTTTTACTGCAGTTTGTGGATGGAAGGGAAGGGAGAACACCAATGTTGTTGAGTTAGACTCCCAAGTTTCAGGAGATAGGGATAAAAAAAAATAGGCGGCTTGCGTATAGGTTTCTGGATTTAACTTCTCCCACTTTCCATTTCTCTCAGGAATATTTCTGAAGAGCACAGAAAATACTCCTTGGAGGAAGAGACCACCTGGTTGCGGATTCGGTCCCTGACATTACGGTTAATAAGTGGGCTGCCAGCTCTCGGCCACAGCAGCCAGCCGAAGAACTCGGAAAAAAGCACCGAGAACGGAGTTTCCTCCAAGATTGACACCGTCCGGACTCTCCTGCGGCAGCTGGACGATGCCGTGAGATCGGGGAAGTGGCTTTTACAGAAAAATATTCAGGTACAGGCCAGGGAAAGAACACTGATTTTTTTTTTTAAATAGACCGATTGCAATGACACAAATTGGGTTAAATCACAAATAACATTGTCCTTTTTTTTTTTTTTGGAAAGTATGTGATACGCTGTGTTTCTCCTCCTTCCACAGTATCCGGTCCTCGGCCCCCCTCCTTCACGGATGGCCAGCTTCTTTGACAGTGGGAGCTGCCAGTCCCAAATCAGCTTGTTCTATCTAGTTAGTGAAATTTATGAATTAGATACCAATGGCTTAGGTAAGCCCTCCAACTTCCTTCAATTTGGGGCTGAAGGGAGAGAGTGGGGAATAAGGATTAGTCCCGTACTGTCCAACCTTGGCAACTTTAACTTTGTTGGTTGGGGGATTCTGGGAGTTGAAGTCCACAACTTTTATAACTGAGTTGTGCCATTCTTGCATTTTCCTTTTGCTTCCTCTAACACCCCCCCCCTCTTTATTTGTGCGTTTACGATAAGCCTCTTCTGATTGGATAAACGATTGGCTCCCTTATTTATTTGCAGAAGATTCCACAGCAATTCAAGAGCGAATAGGAAATTGTTTGAAATCGTTACTGGAGCAACTAACAGGTATGCCGGTTTTGCCAATAAGTCCCCGAGAATTCTGACTTGCTTCACAGCTGACAAGGCTGCTTCCTTGCTTGTGGACTCGCTTTGGGGTGCAAAGAGAAGGGATGGGTGTCTGTCTTGCTCTGCAAAAGGTTTAAATATTCACAAGCTGTTTTTCTCCCCTCTTTCTCTCTCTCTCCTTCTCTTCTTAAGATCAGGTCAATAAATGCAAAGGCGATTTGTTGGAAATCCGGGAGGGCAGCTTCAAAACCCACCCGAATATTTTAGAAAACCTGGTTTTCTTTGTGGAGGTGAGTGTGTGGGCGGTGGGAACCGCCCAGCCTGCTTTGCTGCAAAAGGCAGCAACGGCCCTAAAGCACCTCCTCCTCATCCTCGCAGACCATCTCCATCGTCTTGTGGGTCTGCGGTTACTCGGACACCGTCCTCCGGCCCTGGAAATCGAGCCTGCAGAAGAAGAAAAAGAAGAAAAAAGAAAGCAGCGTGGCCATGGTAAGTCCAGACCCTGCTGGTGCCTTTTCTCCTTCCTCCTCTTCCTCCCGCCTTCCCCAAGCCACAGCTTGACTTCTGATTCCTGATCATCGAGAGCAAATGCTTTATACGGTTCATTCAACAGTTGAGGGCAGACCCAAGGAAGGCCTTTTTACACTTTCCCCTCTCGCACATCTTTGTAGCCTCCTGTGTTCACCAGCTTCCAAGATTATGTTTCTGGACTCCAGAGGCTCGCTTCCAACGTGATAGATCACCTCAAAGGGCTTGAAATTAATTTAACTGCACTTAAACTTGAAGAGCTGTACATAGACAATAATTCACTCTTGCAGGTAAGAAATAATAGCTTTTAGATCAGTGCTTTCCTATGGTCAGCATTTGTCCTGCTCTTTCTGTTCAGTTTTCAACTTTTTGCTCAAAATGTTTCTTGCGTGTGGAAAAACTTGCAGCTGGCAAACCAGTCTGAAGTTCCTGGCACAGATACTTCGGCTGCTCCAACTCCATGCACCCTTAAGCTCTTTTCTTCCTTTAAAAATGGTTATTTGCCAGCATCTCCTCTAAGACGGTTGTAATGTATACTTATCATCCTCTGGAGATTTTTATGGGAATAAGTCGGGTGTCAGTCCAATTGGGTTCTGATTTATCTTGTGTGCGTGCCCTTTTCTTTCATCCAGGAAGAAAGGAAGTTTACAAAGACTGCGCTAGGGAAAGTCCAGAGTAGTTACCAGCACGCGGTTCAAGAAATTGGAGAGCTGCTGAAAAAGAGACTTGATACAATAAAAAATCTAAAGGTTTGATGAAATGCCTCCTTGTGCAGAAAGCCAGATTGAAGCATTGAAGCGTCCAATAAGCAACATCTACCATCCCTTCTGTGTTAAAATCTGGAACTTCCTCATAAATGCATGAAGGACTTTGATCACAAACTTTTTTTATGTATTAAAAAAGATATATTCAAGCCGATTAAATTATTGTACATTAAAAGAATGGAAACAGGGACCCTCCACGGCCAGGGTTAGACCACTTCTTAGACGTGTTCACAAGCAGATGGCAACAGGTTCCAGATCCCCGGCCGAACTCTTGGCGCCTCCCTTGGCTGGGGGAGGGGGAGTTCGGAAACTCCCTTCGGAAGCAGCCATAGGGATCCAGCGCAAAGCATATTTCAACGGAATTTGTACTTCCCCCTCCCCATAAGGCAAGGCAGCATTTAGTTTGCGTGCACGTTTCTGCCGTAGAGAAGCGAATGACCAGGCCTGAGGTCAGCTGTGGCCCCCCCCCCCAAGCCTCTCTTGGGCTCTTCCTGCTTCTGCCACAGCCAAGTAAACCTGACCATTGGACAATCTGATCTGCCACAGGGTCTTTTTATTCTCCTTGATGTATGCAGCTTCCCTTACAGCCATTCGAATTGGTTGGCAAGAGGACCAGCGTCAGTTCCAGCACCAAACCTCCTCTTCCGTGCCACGGAAGTGTCGGAGAACGGTGCTCTCAGTTAAAGCTTACTCCAGTTGCTTCCAAGAAAGTGGGAAAACCTTGCTTAGAAATGCAACTGGACCTAGAATTCCACAGGAATCAGGTAAAAGGTTATCGACGTAATTGGTAGCAAAAAAACAACAACACAACCCCTCAACAGAGCTGTGTTAAAAGTCTATAAAGTTGTGCGGTGTTGCCTTGATGCTTCTTCCACCTTCAGAGTTGCATGTCAAGACAAGCTGGCTGAGTTGAGCTGAACCACAGTTTTTCGTATTTCTCTTCATTTCAAAGTGCCCCCGAATCCCTTCGGGAATAGGTGTATGAGGTGGATTTTGGATGGGACCCAAGAACGGGGAAAAAGAAACTCCAACCGCTTTCAAACCATCCCGCCCTCTGCGCACTCGGAAAAGGTTTTGGGAGCGAATCCCCAAATGCCTGTTGAGCCATGGAATTTTTCAGCATTTTGACATTCAGGGTTGTTGGGTGAGAAAAGGGGTTGCACAACTGCGCAGCCAGTCGCCGTTACTGACAACAAGTTGGCCTTTTGTGGTGCACACCTTAGCAGGTTTCGCTGTTCTGTGGTATCATTCAGCTGGTATTTTCAGAGTTACTTGAGAGGATTGATTGGTTACCATTGTATTTTTTTAAATCAGTGGGTACTAAAATCCAGGGGAGGAGCTCCTGTTTCTTCCTCAGCGCAACGATCAGTTGCCAGAAAGGAATTGTGATTCAAAGTGTGATTCAAAATGCCTGTTTTGCAAATATAATGGTGGCTAATAGCTTTGTGAAACCCCTGTTGTCAGAGCACTTCATGATTCTTGGAGTTTTAAGTATTCTGAAGAATATTGACTATTAATGCCATCCTCTAAGAAATCCTTCACTTTTGAGATTGCCTTTTTAAACAACATTTCCAAAGCTTTCCTCAAAGATTACGGGCCACCTGTTACACAAATTACTTGTGTTTGTTTCGATTGTTTAATCTTTTCGAGCGCTTGGTTAAAAGGTGCCCAAACAGGTAGGGGGAGAGGAGCTTCTGGAAACTAATGCTGGTGTTTCCCCTTTTGCACAAAGGTGTGGAATTCTGGATTTGTGAGATCATTACTTTGCCCAAGGCTTGTGGAAGTGGGTCAACGTACTTGGGGGCTATTTACAAAGAGCTAAAAGCTTGAGAGCAAGTGATGCTGTGACTCTCAGGGTCCTTCTGTGGCAACTTTTAGGAATGAAAACCTTCGGGTTATATTTTCTGTAAACTCAACTTTCCTTTCGAGGAAGAAGAACATCCATGCAACTGTCTGTGTTCCCCTTCCAGCTTTGTAAGTTTAGGGTTTATCATTTTTTTTTAAAAAAAATCATTTTCTTACTATTTCAAAATTGAATTTATATTTGAAATCCTGATAATTGAATCATGGGGTTTGTTTTACCTCTTTATTGGAGCTGTAAAAGGAGAGGGGTATTCGGCTTCCTATTCTATTCACTGTGGAGCTTCTTTGCTTTGATTTGCTGTTTGTTTTTAATTTGTGCCTATGTAAAACACCTCGGCCACCAACAGAACTCTAGAAGGATAAAACTGCTAATAATCTGCTGTAAACTGAATGGGTTTATAATTTATAAAAAAAAAAACTCGGTTTCTTTATAACCAACTTTTTCTGTGCCTTTTTTGTTTCTTTCGGACTGGGAAGCGTTCGACCTCTCTGAAGGTTTCATGATCTTCAGGGCTTTTGCTTTCAGTGCTAAGAAGTGAGCCATGACCCAAAACGCACCATTTAAAGCAGCCCCCCCCCCAACTTGGCAACTAAGAGTGGTGGCCTTCAACTCCCAGCATTCTCCACCCAGCTCCACCCTCTGCTCTGCTGGCTCGAGAATTCTGGGAGTTGAAGGCCACCACTCTTACAGTTGCCAAGTTGGGGGGGGGGGGCTGGTTTCTAAGGTCTTTTAGGCATTTAAGGGGGGGCAGAGACAGATGTTGGAGGTGTGAGGCTGGGTCGGCTGGCTGGGTGCAATTTAAGTCCCCCTCTCTGCAGCCTAGAAGGGGGGGGGTTTCAACCCTTGTGCCCTTTCAGACGGACATTCCGCAAAGCTGGACTTGAAAGCAGGACGTGGAGATGCTGTTAGGCCAGAGCAGCATCTCCAAAAAGACCGCTGGACTCCAACTCCCAGAATTCCTCAGCCGGTAGAGAGTTGGGGTCTTCAGAGTCTTGGAGGGCGGCTAGCCCTGGTTTAAAAGGGGAAAAAAATCGGGGCTTGTGCGAAATTGGCTCTCCGGGAAAGAGGCCCCGGGGGCGGGCGGTGGGGCTCCTCGCCGACTTGCTCGGCTTCCTTCGGATGTTGGCCTTCCTGGGGGGGGGGGGCATTTCACGAGGGGGCGCGGCGGGGCCGCTCAAGACCCCCCCAGTCCCCTCGCTCCTCTGCCGGCAGGGCTGGAGCGCCGCATCTCCGCCGCAGCGGGCTCGGCCTCTTCGGCCCCCAACTCCCAGCCTCCCCTCCTTGGCCTGCCGGGAGCCCGGAGGGTTGGCCGGCCTTCCCCGCGGATTCGGGGTGCCCGGTGCGAAGGAGCCCGACGGCAGCCCCCCCTCCCCGGCTTGTCCTGCGGGGGGGCGGGGCCGAGCGCGGCGGGACCGCCCCCGCAAGCCCCTCCCTCGCCGCGGAAGCGCCCGCCCGCCCGCCCGCTCGCCCAGCAGCCCCCAGGTCGCCATGGCGAATCCCGGACGGCGCGCCTGCCGCCTGCTGCCTCTCCCGGCGCCGCCGCCGCTGCTGCTGCTGCTGCTCCCGCTGCTGCTGTGCGCGGGGCCGGAGCGGAGCGGCGCGCTGCACACCAAGGGCGCGCTCCCGCTGGACACCGTCACTTTCTACAAGGTAAGCCCCCCGCCATCCCGGCTCCGGAGAGGGAGGCACCTCGGGGACTAAGCGGGGCGGCGGGGCTGGGGCGGTGCCGGGGCCCCGCGTGGAGCCCGGCTTCGGATGGGACCCGCCCGCCCGTCCACCCACCTGGGGCCGCCGCCGCCTCCCCTCTCCCTCGGCCCCCCCCCCTCATTTCCCCTTCCCCAGCGCTCCTCCCCTGGAGAGCCGAGGGGCGGGCCGCTCCCCACGCCTCGCCAATCCGGGGCGTCCAAGTGGAGGGCGAGGGCGAGGCGGGCCTCCCCCGCCCTGGGAACCGCCGGGCTTTGAAAACGGGGCCCCCTCCTCGGCAGGTGCAGGGAGAGAGCAGCCCAGAAATGCCCCCGGATCTCCTCCCTGCCCCTTCCCACCCAAGAACCGCCGCACTCCGAGCCCCGGCGAGGTGCCTTTATTGACGCAGCAACTGCTCAGCCCGAAACCAGAATCGCTCGGGATCCGGACCGACGGTCGGCAGGGAGGCGTGGGAGCCACAGCGGGAAGGCCCCGGGCAGCCCGGCTTCCTGAACGCTGCTTGGCCCGAGTTGCCCCAGTCCGGGAGCGAGCTAACCAAGCATCAAAGCGGCGGCTCCTCCCGGGAGGCGCTCCCGAAGAACCGGCTCTCCCTCTGAGTGGCAGGTGCCTCTTCCAGCTGGTCCTCCTGGGGGGGGGGGCTCCAGGGCCCCCCAGACCCTCCTCCTCCTCCTCCTCAAGCCCAGCTGGCTCTGGAGGCACCTCTTTCAGGCGGAGGGCAGCGTTCCCCTCCCGGGGCTGCTTGTTTCTGGCCTCTGTGGACCTCCAGCTCTCTGGGCCCTCAGAGAAGCCCCCCTGCCCTTCAGTCTGGATGTCAGTCAGCTTCGTGGGGTTGTGACTTCCACCCCTTCACCCTCCTCAGAGCTGCTGCACTGGCCTCTTCAGTCTCCAACCCAGGTTTCTCTGGAGGGGCTTCACTCTATGGCCCATCAAACTGCTGCTCTGGCCTCTTTGAACCTCCAGCTCTTTGGCCCCCTCAGGGCCTTCCAACCTCTCCAGGACTTCAGCCCAGAGGACCTTTGGCTGCTCCAGAGGTTCAGTGGGGAATGACTTCAAGGCTCCTGCTTCAGCCTCTTCTGGCCTCTCCAGGACTCCAACCCAGTGAAATCTGAGGCAGCGAGTGACTCCAGCTCCTTCACCCCTGAGGGCTCTTCCTCCTCTGGCAGATGCCCTTGTGCTGTCCCTTTTATAGCCGTTTTTTTCCCTCCAAAACAGCTGATTGGTAGCCCGGCTTTGGGTCTCCGTTGTTTCATTGGCCCTTCACCCATCCAAGTCCATGAGTGACCAATGCCCACACGGCCTCACTTTCCTGGGTCCCCATTGGCTACTTTTTTGCCTCAGCAACAGTATAGAAGGAATAAGCCTCAGCATTTGGAAATGGAGATGTTCTCCTCCCTTGAAACGTGAGGGGAAAATTCCTCACTGTGACACAAACATGAGTTCAGAAAGGACCAACACCCCCCCTACCCCCCCCAAAAAAAGAATTAGCCATTGTTTGGGTGTGTGTCTGGATTCAGAAACATTGACCTGGACACGGGCTTCTCCACCCTGGTGCTGCCAGGTGATATGCCAG